TGAACGTCTTTTGAAATGCCTCCAATCCAACTACATCCCTCAAGTAAGGACACCAAAATTGTGTGCAACACTCCAAGTGTGGCATTACACAGTTGCAGCCACACTTCCTTAATTTATACAGTACTCCTTTAGGAAAAAATGCATGAGGTCACCCACATCCCTCTGCAATGAAGCACTCCTGAGGTTTCTCTACATCTATCAAAGCCTTCTTCTAGTCCAGGTGTGCAATGTCTACAGGATCTCCATTATCCACATTGCTTGTTACATGTTCAAAGAATTCTTGCAAATTGTTCAAACAAGAGGTGACTTAGCACTGAAAGCCATTGTTTACGTAAGCTCTAAAAATGTTTGAGAGTGAGTGTGCCTATTTTGAGACACATTCTCCCTCACTTACTTGCTGTTATGGCATCCTGCTGTGGATTTCAAGCTGCAAGGCCTTTTATTGGCCTCCAGCAGAGAGGCCACCCACTGTCCTTAATTGGATGGTGAGCCTGCCCTGTCACTAATCGTTGACCACTCCAGGGAAAATCACATTGATCAAATGTTTTAAGATGTGTGTTATGTTACAGAGTGTACATGGAATTTTGTAACATAGGAACTGGTGGGCTATATTCCCTGTAAGATACATGCATACACATTCGTGCATCAAAAGAAAACTTAAGCACAATACACAGCTACAAAGCAAAGACCTTCTGTACCTATCCGTATACTATATCACACAGTTGATTCCACGGCATGAGAGCTCCAGACTTCTGACTGAAAACAAGTCATGTATAGGGAAACAGCAGGAGGTTGGCTTGGGGAACAGGAGAGGGCAGAACACAACTTGAAAGTTCAGGAGCAGGGAATTCACAGTTTACAGTGACCAGAAGGATCAGGTAGCACGAGCGTACCTGCGGGAACAGGTGGCCATTCTAGAAGGACATAATACAAACAGCAAGTCACATTTTTCTTTTTCTTATTTTTAAAAACTTTGTTTTCTTGACAAGAATAAAATATGTCCAAGAAAAACAAAGACGTCTTCAAAAAAGTAAATACTGTAATATTTCTAAAAGGAATGGCTTTCCAAGATAATTGAAACCAAAATGCCATCTTCAGTGCACAAACACAAGGTACAAATTGGTGATATTTTCATTTATTGCGACACTAACGATATCTTTTGCAGTATTTGATCTAAAGCAAATACCAGATGCGGGTGCAGAGCAAGTGTGGGCTGAGTCCTGGACGCGAGTCGCGGCTGGAGCAGGAGCAGATCGATTGCGGGCCAAGTCCCGAACGCCAGCATAGCATGCACGGGCCAAGTCCCAGAGCAGCAGCAGACCGTACGTGGACTGAGTCCTGGAAGCCAGTCATGGGCCGCAGCCCAGAGTCCAGAGCAGAGCGATTGTAGGCTGAATCCCAGAAGTGAGTCGCAGGCCGGAGCCTGGAGCGGGGAACAGAGCGAGTGCGGGCTGAGCTGGGAGCCAAGTCATGGCCACAGCAGGTGCAGAGTGAGCCTAGGCCAGCTGGGGGAACAAGTCCTGGATGCATGCCAGCGCATGGAGGCAGCGAGGCCTTGTGTTGTAAAGCCCAACAGGCATGGACTCAGTGAAAAAAGGACTATAACTTGAGTACTTTAAAAAGAATTTTTATGTTCATTCTGGACTATTTAGACTGTATTCCCATGCCAGTCTATTTTCTTTTTCACTATTTCAACTCTGTAACAACACTTACAGTATCTGTGCCTAGGTTGCTTGTACCAAACATGGTGCCGAGAGGTGACATTACAAACTTTACTGCACATGACAATAAAGGCTATTCTATTTTAAAACTGGAATGCGAGTCCAGCCTCAAGTAAGCAGTGGTAAGAAGTAGTACAGTTGCAGATTAGACTATCTAAAGTGGCATTTGAACCAAAATGTGCACATATGTTTTCATAAATTAAAGCAAAATCAAAGGATGGCATATTGTGAATGCTTACATAAACACAAGATCAGAGCGGAGGGCTGATATGGTGAAAGGTTTAATTGGTAATGTTGCACTCACAGTAAAGATGAATGTGTCTATGCTTTACATGCAGGATATTCATGATCATGGGGCAAAACATACATCAATTACTGAGAGATGGCACAACAACAATCATGCCTTTGAATTTGTGGAGTACATTAACTTTTCACACAGAAACAGGTCCCGCATGAATTATACAAACCGCATTTTCATTCATTCTAAGTAGTTGAAAGTATAGACATTTTGGTGCAAAATATACTGATTTTGTACATCAGGTATTGACTAGAATCTGAATTTGTTTCCACAACTGGGTTTGCAGAAATTTTAAAGCTGATTGCTTCTGACTGAATCTCCATTATGACAGCAATCACACAACTTTATAATAAATGTGACCTTGATTTACAGCAGATGGTGATGTTTACATCAGACAGCTTTACTTATGCTTGAAAAGAAAAAATGGAAAACAAGCATGCTGCCACTTAAAGTCAAACATTTGTTGGAACAGCATGGCTTTGCTCACACAGAAGATCTTGGAATGGATGACGCTAAGAAGCAGATCTCAATTATGCATGATATTGAATTGTTTCGAAGATCAGTGTATACAATGATCATAAGGTTATCTGTAAAGAAAGGACAAATCAAAGAATTTTGCACACTCACAGAATGTGATGCAGTGGCATTTTGATCTGTGAATGAAGTGAGGTGGCTGTCAAGACACTTTGCAGTAAATGTACTCATGCAAAACTGCAATGTTTTGATGGAGTACTGCACAGGGTAAATGGATAAATACAATGATCCAATAAACAAATATTGCCTGAAAATTATCACAAAGCCATGATATTATGTTCCATTGGAAATTCTGAATGATGTTCTTGGTGAATTTGTGTCACTGTGCAAATTTTTTCAGAAAAGCTGTTAGACCACAATTGAAGCTAACTAGTTTGCAAAGGCCAACATTTACAAACTAAAGGCTCAGTATTTAGGTGAACATTTTTAAATGGAGTTAAGGTGGTCTTGGCTTCTCCAGATAGTGATGTTGGCACTGCTGCAGTCCTTTGAGTTATTCAATTGCACATGACCTGGATAGCAGATTTTCAGAAGAGGAATAACTGGAGTGGCATGCATTTATCATGCGGCAATTGCCAAGACAACCGACTACTAATTTGGCAAATACATTATCTGTGACCGATATCGAAACATTCCACTCATCCCAAGCTATTAAGAAAATGTGATCATAAAGATCTGTGAACAATACTGCAATTTCAAATTTATGGCTATGGAAAAATTCAAGATTTGTTCCATTCAGACATTTAGAGATTTGGTAAACTTTGCCTAAAAGATGAACCGTTTCAAGAAATTTCTGTTCTTCTGGACATTGATTCGACATTTCAAGCATTATGTATCATGAGCACAGATTTAGCCTCTTGAATTTGATGAGATTTAAATCCTGAAATAGACCACTTAGATACAATCATTCAAATTAAGTTGTACATTTCATCTGGACAAATTATCAATCTGAATGTGATATAAAATTATTGGGCAGAAAATAAAGATAGGCATGAAAAGCTTCCAAAGGAGTGGAGAAATTACAAGCACAATATAGTGTGGAGCTGGAGGAGCACAGCAGGTCAGACAGCATCAGAGGAGCAGGAAAGTTGATGTTTTGGGT